TGTGGTTCATTTATATGATGGAGTTTTACTCAGCAGTAAAGAAAGATGAAATCATGAAATTTGCAGGTAAATGGATGGAACTAGAAATTGTTATACTAAGTGAAGCAACACAGACTCAGAAAAATAAGCGACATGTGTTCTCCCTCATATGTGGATCCTAGCACCAAATCCTTATAACTACGGGAACTAAGATAATGAAAAGGGACCAAGGAGGTAAAAGAAAAGAAAGAATCTGAAAGAGAACAGTAGGAAACAGGTGTTAGTAAGGGAGATATGGATAAAAATGGAGTTATTTTAAGGGGAGGGGAGGGAGGGTTATACAAGGAACCTTGGGGATAAAGGGAAAGAAGGAGCTCAAGAGAGATGGGATCATAGGAGAAGGGTATTATTAAGGGAGAAATGGGAAAAATAGGGGCACTTTAAATGGGGAAATCATGGTAGAAGGGTTAAACAATGCGAGAGATAAATAATGCCTAGCTACTTAAAAAAAAAAAAACAGAGGGAACCATATTAATCAAACAACATACTGACAAATTATACATAAAACTAGCTCGAGGAATATTAAGAGTACCAGACTGGTGGATCTAACCTTGGATGTTTAACAGCCATACTTTGAGGCCTATACTAATTTGGTCAGAGGGATATAAGGACAGTTTTTGCTCTTTGCCCACCTAGGTTAACTAAGTTCCAGAGGACTATGAGGATCTCTCAAAATGTCCTGTAACTGTGGTGAGTCACCTGTCCTCTTGATCAAGGAGGTCAAGGAGACCCCACCAAATGGACTTGAACCAGTGTCCAGTCTACAAAGAGGAGGGTGAACACAGTCCTCCATGCTTCCAAATGAAGCCAGCCGTGATTGAGCAGGACCTTTGACTTATCTTCACATAGACAGAACTGGTAAAAGAAAGGAAACAGGGGCTCCTCCCAAGCCCATGTGACCCCTGAGGAACAGATCCTCAAACAACCTTAAGAGTGGAAATAAATTGGTTAATCTGGACCAACTACATGGTCTTAAACATCCAAAAGGAAAGTATAACCAAAGACTAAAGGGATCAATATAATTCTTTAAGAGTCCATGTGTATAGCTAAAGGCTACATAACAAGAAACAATGCCAGACACCAGCATAGAACTGGGAAATGAACAGCAGACCCCAATCTTATCTAAAGGAATATTGGCAACTGATTGCTGCTAGATGAGGAAGAGATGATGTCCCTAAAACAAGAGCTCTAGATAGGCTGACTAGATTCAGTGGATGGACAAGCACTGGGGAACAGCTGGGGGCACTGAAAACACAGTGGAGAGTAACAGGGATGACAGAGTATATGGGATCCAGGGGGGTGGGGGAGAGGCTATGGAAGGGTGCCATTTGGGATGTGGGCATATTAGATGAATAAGATTTTGGGGGGATGTTCTGTATGATACACAGAAAAATCAACAAATTTAAAAATGAGTTATATTTGAGGAAGAAGCATAAAAATTTGCTTCATGTTAATTAGTAGAGGTGAAAAACATTACCACTGAAATCTACCTGATGACTTTATATCCATGCTCAGGTGCCACGGCTCTCAGAAAGTAACTGACTGTGACTAGTAATAATCAGATGCATAGAGATTAGAGATACATGAGCAAACGTCTAAGTGTAGCATTAAAAATGAGTTTTTCCATATGAAACAGCATATTTTAAAATGAAATGGAGATCTTTTTTAAAGGTTAAAACCTCATTCAATTTTGTCTTATAGGTTTTATACTGAGTTCAATATCGTATAACTGTATTAATTCAACTGGGAACCTAAATATTACAGCCAGTTTTGAAAGAGATGCATCTTTGCTCTGGAAATTGTTACTGAATATGTCAATGCTGTAATGAAATGCTTCTTCTAATCATGTGGTTATTAAATAATTTTCCAAAAACAGAATTAAGAACAGTGAATAAAGAATCAGTTTAAAATGAAAATATGCTTA